GGGGCGCGTGCGGCCGCCCGCAGCCCAGGAGGCGCGGCTGCTCAGGGTGCCCGGAACGGGCTGCTTACGTACCTTCGGCTCGGAGCCTCAGGCTCGCAGCCGGGGAGCCCGGGATAACGGAGCCTCAGCCGCTAACACGCCGCGACTCTCCATTCGGGGCTGTTTACTCGCAACTCTCGCGAGATCGCGCCACCGGCGGAGAGGCTCACGATCGGGAGCGTCGGCCCGACGTGCGCGCTCCGGGGAGCGCGTACGCACTCCTGATACCCAAGGCCGCGGACGGACGCGCACCGGGAGAGTGGACCGAGGTCTCGCGACACTGGCTGGCCCGGACCAGGGGGTGTGGCCAGCTCGCGAGTACTGCGGCGCGTGTGTTGTTGCGCTGAGCTAGGGCCCGGCTTGTAGTTGGGCTTTGGAACCGGCCTGGGGAAAACAGCACAGGCCTGAAAGCAGCAGGGCTCTAGAGAGGACGACCGTGATGAGAAGCCTCCCGCCTCGCCGGCTTCTGCCATCCACAAGTTGAAAGCGCGTTACTCCAGCGCTAGCGCTTCCTGCCGGAGTACACATCCAAGCAGACCCGGTCCTCCCAAGCTAGGGCGGCCCGGGATCCCCACCCTCGCCTATGGATCTGAATCCACCCAGCCGTGGAAGCCCCATATGCCACCTACCCAACCTCCTAAACCCTCACGCCCTTGGCCTGACTGCTGGGAGGGCTCCTCTGCTGTCGGGGGCGTCTGTGCTTGGTGAGACAGTAAGGATTTTCATTAATGCCAAATATTTACTTTCCTATTTTGAAGAAACGGGACAGAGTGTAAAACACGGGACCGGGGAGATAGCGGCACAGCGCCTGCCTGGCAAGTGCAGGGTCCTGAGTTCAGTTCCCAGTACAAAAAAAAAAAAAAAAAGCCGAGCGTGGTGGCGCAGGCCTGTAATCCCCCCACTCGGGAGGCTGAGGCAGGAGGATTGTTGTGAGTTCGAGACCAGCCTGGGCTACATAGTCAGTTCGAGGACAACCTGGACTATGTAGAGAAACCTTGTCTCAAAACACCCCCCAAAAAAGTTCTATATGATGATT